ACCACCTTCGGTCTGTATAACATCTTCCAGATTATGTCAACAATCGGTTTTAGAGGGACTGCATGAGTTATCTGCCATCTTTCTGAAAAGTAATTTTTCCCACTCAATCATTTTGGGGACAGCTACCTGGCTATCGTAAAGATTGGTGTCAATCAATACAGTGTGTCCAGCAGGACTCTATTTTCGGATATACGGATTTAACGTTGTTAAAACCTTAAGATAAATTCTGGAAAGGACCGCATACGGGGGAGATCCTGGAAGATACTCATATCCATGGGATAACACTCTAAGTTCAAGGACTTTAGATAAGTTTTGCATCAGAGAGTGCTACACTTAAGTTTGGATAGATATCAAAATAGACTGGACCATGGGATAGACTAGTTTCTACGGCTCCCATAAGTGAGGCTCTTCAATCAGTACATCTTCCATCTCTAAGATTACATTGGAGGCTGGTATTTTGACCTAAAAGTAAAGTTCAAAGGTTTAAATTCATTCAAGAAACCACTATACCTTAACGATCAATTTGGAAATTAATTAAAAAAAGGAAATTGAATAGAAAAGAAAATTGAATAAAAAAGGAAGTTGAATAAAAATAAAAATGGAAAGTTGCATAAAATTAAAAAATGAAAGTTCATTCAAGAAAGCAGTATACCTTAACGATCTATTTGGAATTAAACAAAAAAGGAAATGAATAGAAAAGGAAATTGAATAAAAATGGAAGTTGAATAAAAAAAAAATAGAAGTTGCATAAAATTAAAAATGGAAGTCTATTCAAGAAACCACTATATCTTAACGATCTATTTGGAAATTAACAAAAAACGAAATTAATATATAAAAGGAAATTAATAAAAATGGAAGTTGAATAAAATAAAAATGGAAGTTCCATAAAATTAAAATAGTTATAAATTGAAGTTCATTCAAGAACCACTATACCTTAAGGATCTATTTGGAAATTAAATAAAAAAAGGAAATTGAATAGAAAAAGAAATTGAATAAAAATGGAAGTTGAATAAAAACGAAATAGAAGTTGCAGAAAATTAAAAAATGGAAGTCTATTCAAGAAACCACATACCTAACGATCTATTTGGAAATTAAATAAAAAAAGGAAATTGAATAGAAAAGGAATTTGAATAAAATGGAAGTTGAATAAAAATAAAAATGGAAGTTGCATAAAATTAAAAATGGAAGTTCATTCAAGAAACCACTATCACCA